GAAGGTGTTTGGAGGAGGCCATGGGGAAGTAGCCCAGGGAGTTGTAGCTGTCATGCAGCTGTTATAGGAGGCACTATAGACAGCTGCAGTCCACAGGGCCCTGGGCTGGAACCCGGAGTAGAGGGCGGGCCCGGGTTCCCCCCAAACCTCCCAATTGACCTGGACTCTGGGTTCTTCCAGAGGGGAAGGTCTCTGGGCTGTTCCCCAACCCAGGTGGTGAATCTCTGAGGCAAGAAAATCCGCCAATAAGCGCAGGACCCACCAAGATAGAGGAGGAACTTTGTCACAATACATATATATTCTATGTAGCTTGATAACTTCACTATCTGCATACAGAAAAGACTATTTGCTTCTGAAGACATTACCCCTATATCCCTAATTGTTGTTAAGAGTTCTGAACTTACCCTTATTTATTAATGCTGGGATTGTTTCAGTTTTTCAAATCACCACTTATCATATATTCCATCATCATTTAGTGCTATGATCTGGTGTATTGGTGTTTTTTTGCCTTTGACCTGAAAAGCTCAAGTACTATACCTGTTAACGTATACTCTGGCCCACTGAACATTAAAGCACCAGATATTTCACTGCAGCCTGGAATACAGTTAGAAGTTTAAAATGTTACCTTCATCTCAGCTCTCTGGGGAATAATAGTTCACCTGGATGTATTTGAAGAAACCTGGAGCCTTTTTCTTTGCACCCTAACCTTTTAAATTGCTTTATTGTCTTGAGGGGGCAAAAAGTTCATTAAGCAATAAGACATTTGCAGCCAAGCAGCCCAGTGCTGAACGTTGGCACAACCTGGAACGTGACTCTTCCAGCACATTTCAGCAGTGCCCCTTTTCATTTCTCATATAATCTGGTGTGTACCAATCAAAATACCTATCTAGTGAGTAGCCATTAGTGACCTAATTGCAATACATAGAACTAGTATACAGCAAGTTAAAAATACCCACCTCTGATATTAAAAAGAAAGGAAAGAAAATGTCACTTTATATTAAGGTTACATTTATAAATTGCTTATACAGGTTTAATACATGATTAATAGAGTTTTTTAATAAATCATCAATCAATTATAGATTGTTATAGAGTCCAGCCAGTTAAAGAGAACACACAACTGAGGATCCCTTTCTGAAGTGCAGGCTTTTATACATAACATTAAAATCTTTCTTTAATTTAATCAGCTTGCTGCCATTATTGTTCTTTACCTCCAAAATAGCCACAGCTACCATCTTGCTGTCACTACTTATGCTTTCTCCTATAGGCCACAGAGAGACAGAAATGACTTTGTCAATGTGGAATGATGGGATTGTGGACATGAGTAAGGCCTTGATTTAGTAAAGGATTTAAACACAAGCTTTACTTTTTAAGCACTTGCTTAAAGTTACGCATGTGCTTAAGTACTTTTCAGAACAGGGCTATTTTCTTGATTTAAAGTCTAAGTGAAGCCTCCACTGCAGAATACCACAGGATGGGTCTGCTGGTTTCCCTCCCCCCCGGGGCAGAAGGTCTGCATCTTACCAGATGGGTGAAATGATACTGAAATTCACAGCTGCACCGTATGTTGTGAAAGGTGCTGTTGACATATTCCCATTTTTCATATGCTTGTCGCTCATAAGGTTACCAAGACGTGAGCCATTAATTTTTATCAAATTGTGAGAATGATTCAGTTCTCAATTTATAGGGAAAGTTAGAAGCAGTTTGACTGTTCACAAACAAGGATGGTTGGTTTACTGGAGATGCCTGTGTGGACAAAGCAGTCAAATCTAGATTCAAATCCAGATTCAAATTTACCCAAAAGTTCAGAAGTATTTTAATCCGGGGTTTTGAATCAGATCCTTCACTATTATATAAAGTACCATTGGAAGCATGTTTATAGTGTTGGTCAGTTGCTGGCACTGTTTTGTGCAGGTGGAGGAAAGGAGGTCCATGGAAACATTTTTATTCAATAAATAGAACCCAAAAGAAAGGGCATAGAGATTGTGTGCTACATCCCTAAAAAAACAAATTCATTCTAGAGATCTGTAATTTTAATGGTGTTACCCTATTTCTCTTTCTCCCACTGTGTTTGATCATGTAGGTGGTTCTTCAAAAAATCTTCTGGAGTTAATGAAAAGGTAAGTACTAAATGGGATTTGTACCCTGGGTGCAGGTACAATAGTTAATTAGAATTCTACCTTCCAAAAATAAATCAAAACAAAACAAAAATATACTGTCTGACAGTGCTGTAAGTTTTAAACCATAGATTTAATGACCTACCGTTATTTGGAAAGCTGCCTATTTCTTCTGCATCATGAAGAATAAGTAATTGAAATAAAAAATTTTGATTGAATTGCCTCATACTTAGGGCCTGGACGAAAGCCCACTGGAAGTCAATGGGAGTCTTTCCACTGACTTCAAAGAGGTCTGGATCAGGCCCATACACCAGGTTTACACTGATGTAACTCCATTGACTTCAGTTGAGTTACTCTTGATTTACATCAGCATAAATTAATTATTAAACAGGCCCTTTGCCTTATTCTGTGAATGTAATTTCTGAAGTGTAGACAGATAAAGCTGAGTGGCTGAGGATTAACAAGCAACAACCCCAAGTCTGAGCTGAATTTAGATGAGTAGTAGGTTTGGTTTGAGTTGCCACACCCAGAGTTAATAGATGAAGGTACATTGTGGCTCCCACACCCCAGGTCAATCAAAACTGATCCTTAGGATTTTCCTGTAATAGATCCTCACTCTTTGCTCTTGTGCCTGTAATGCACAACTGGAGGAAGTGCTGAGTCATTGGAGAAACAAGTGTTTCTGAGCCATTGGACCACTTCACCAGCAGGAGAGACATGTCTGTCTCCTTGAGCATCCCCAGCCACCAATGACTCAATTCCTTTCCCTCCATCAATGCGCTTAGCAGTTCCTCTTGGCTGTGGCTACTGGCAGCTGCTTTCAAATGTAGCTTTGTCTTCTCATTGCTAATTGTAAATATTTTTTCACCTTTCTCCTTTTCTTTGGCAGCTAGTTTTTAAAGAGGAAAAAGTTTGACTGTAGTAAGCTAGGCTTAACCCATGCTGTGAAGTTTTGATGGATCACTTATTTCTGTGACAGTCTTTCAATAGGTGCAATGCGTGTTTCTCTGCACCTAGCCTGCTCTGCCCTGGGCTGGCCCATTGCCACCCCTTTCTGGAAGAAAGAAACCTAGCACACAGCAGTGGCTCTGATTCCTAGCCACATGTGGCTGGCCCTTACACAGTGAGCACAAAGTAGGGAAAGCCCCTGCACCTTGTTCCCCATATTTCTGCATCCAGGCAAGGCCAGCCCAGTTTAGCTTTTAGTAAATAGATGGGCCTTACACTGTACCCTGAAGGTGAATGAACTCTGCCTGTGTTGGATCAACAGGAAGAGAAAGTCCCAGAGTTGAGGGCCTTAAGCAATCACATTCTGCTTTCAGCTCCCAGCTGCTTCAAATATTGGGGTGATGAGCAAGAGCATTCCAGCTGATCTCAGCATCCGTGCAGTACATAGGAAGAAAAGCAGTGTCTTCATGAACTAGGACTCAAACCATATACTTTATAGGTCAATGAAAACAGAACAAGAGACTTTTGAACTGATCTTCTAATATAATGGCACATTCGTGGAAAAATGTGAATTCATGAAATGCCAAGGTTTCAGGTCCTGGGCATTGGCTAGATGCACCAATGAGGACATGTATGTTCAGTCTGAAATGACCCCCTGCTAATCAGTCACTGGAATCTGATCCTCTTTGAATTTGGGGGTGAGGTGGTTTCTGATTCAAATGTCTGGATCTATGGGTTTCCAGGTCAGCTCCAAAGCCAGAAGGGGCCTATTTTCCAGTTCCACTTAAATTTGTGTAAGATTTTCTTCCACCCTGAATGTTGGAAATTTTTTGATAATCATGATATTAACTGATTTAATGAGATTTCCTCCATCTTGGGCGATAGTCTTGAGAGTTTAGCTCTCAAGAGGTTAGCAACGTTGCTGCCAAAACCATATCCTGATTTGACCTTGAACCCAAAGCTTTAGTGTAAACCTAATCCTGAGTGATACATGCCCTCCTTGTCCAATTTCTAATTAAAATACTTTGGTCATGGTTTTACCTGAAAGGAGAGTGCTTGATTTAGATTCTGACTGATGCAAAGAAGATGGAATAGCAGCTTGTAAAGAACTGAAAATAAATATATCAGGGGAAAGGGGAATTATGAAAAAAAATTAAATTACCAAAATATAGGACTATAATAAAAACAGATTTAGAATGATTCAAACATAGCCTAAATCTAAAAGAAATACTTCACAATGTGCAGTATGCTCTCACGAGCACAGTGTGTAATTCAAACTACTGTATGAGAATGGTCTTCGACATTAATATTGCTACTTATTTATTTTTTATATTTTTTAGCTTGGCTAGGAATCAACGGTTCGACAATCCAGCCATAGTTATCTATGCTTCAATTGGGAACGATGTATGCAATGGGTAAGGCGTCAAGAAACTAAAATACCATTTCTATTACCATATATATGGCTTGGAGGCCTTTTCACTAGCGAGACATTTCAATCTTCTTATTTTATTCAATTAAAACGTGCTTTTGTGGTTAGCAGTGCTCTTTTTTATCTGTGCGGAAAAATATTAGTCACAGTTACAGGGCTAGCTGCTGCTGTGCTCCCTTTCACATCTCTCAGAGTGCATCACCTCACAGATAGGCCTCTTGCCCTTACGTGTGTCTAGGTGAAATCACGTGATTCTTCCACTCTTAACCCAGACCTGGGGACACTACGCTATGTCGTTCAATCATTAGCACCCTTCAGCTCCAACTGGACCCTTGCGTTTCTTCCTTTCAGGAGCCTCTGAACAGCGTTCTTAAAACAAAGTATTATTTAGCAGTAGGAACAAAGCATGAGTGAAAATCAGATTTTAAAACAACAAGCAGTGTACAGGCATCTTACCTAAAGTCCGTACACACTGTATTTTGAACATATAAAGTATTCTGAAAAATCAGGTCCCAGGTCTCAAATTCAGCGCCCAAATTACTGTATACTTTGGATCTTAATCTCTCTGTGCCTCAGTTCCCCATATGTAAAATGAGGACAATAATACCTATTCATTTCACAGGGCTGTTGTGCAAATAAATTCATTAAAGTCTGTGAGGCACATGTAGTGTAGTGATGTGCACCATAAGGAAGCCATGAAGAAATCAATAGAGCAGGATTTGAATAGTGTGCAATAAATAAGGCTACAGACCACAGGCTGGACACTGAAAAAAAAATACATTGAATAGCTGCTTATTAAGTCAACACTGCCCAACCTGCGCATTCAATGAGGCAAGAATCTGCTATATAACAGTAGAACCTAGTACTGAGCTATTAATTAGAAAATAAAGCCATTACATTACCCAGTGGCTCAGTAATATGTCTAAAGCCGTGGAACAGAAACAGGCTATAATGAAGTTCACAGTAATAGACAAGACATGACAATGACAAATACATACTACCTTTACACGGTAATATGTAATCATAATATCATTACACAAATGAAATATCAGGGTTTATGCGTCTTCATGCAACAGTTTAGACATCAATCTAATCCTGGAAACATATAAATGCTAGTATCTGTGATGCAGGAGATCAGACCATATGATCATAGTGGTCCCTTCTGGCCTTAGAATCTATGAATTTCCTTTACTCTGCAATATTTCTTTCTCTAATTCAGGTAACCCCTCTGCTTTCCTCTGTCTCTAACATAATTTTTTATTATTTTACAAAATTATTTCTCCTCTCCAATGCAAAATTATTCTTTGCCTCCTCCATTTGTGTAGATTTTTCAAAATGCTATTTATTATTAATATTTATTCAAAATAAATATTTTAAAATTTTTATCCCACCCTTCAGTGGTACTTTTGTGTGGTGAAATATTCTGTGCTGTCTGTTTCCCGCCAAAAAAATTACTGGGATCAAAAGCACAGGGTTATAAGAATACAGTCATTCTTGTAACTCTTTCTGTGAAGGGAAGATGCTGCTGCCTTATGCAGAAATTCACTGCTCCCACAGATCGAACTGAGCGGAAAGGAAACCATGGGTTGGTTTTCAAGAAGATGTCTCTATATACAGTGAAACTTGTTTTGAGGCATCCACAGAGGTTCTACTGAATGCAGAGCATCTACTGGGTATGACTTTAAACAAAAGTCTAGACATATAAAAATGTCTTTTAAGGCAGCTTTAAATTGCAGTAATAAAGACCTTCCAACCTAATCCTATATTTCTCTCTTCAAAAGAGATAAATGCTGCTGTATACACTGCAGGAACAATCCTTAACCAAAGCACGGCTAAAATGCCAATATTTCCTCCCATGTGGGGAGCTGGGCAGTGAGTAATATAGGCATTTGTAGAGGAAAAAGATAATGAAATTGGCAGCACATGCACTACTTTCCCTCTAGTACCCACATTGTGGTGTCCAATCATGGGGTTAGAAAAATAAAGACAGATGGAGATTATATCTCTCTGCCTGCTGAGGCACAAAAGTGGGACACAATGAGGCTCAAAGACCCAAAATGAAAAAAAAAAGAGAGAAAATAAGTAGTCAAGAAGCTTAAAATGCTGTGGAATTATTAAATGTATTCATTCCGTTTTATATAATAAACCATTTCTACAACCTCTTTCATGATTCTGTATTTATGGTCTAAAGACATTACAACTGAAATGATAGCAAACTAGTGTGAAATGGAGGTAATCCACTGTCTAAAATGAAGGACAGCTGAGATGTATGATGGGAATAGATGAACATTTCATTATTACAGTGCTGCCATTACTGGCTCCACTACCTACTGTCCCCAGTTCTGAAAATGCTTTATGCTCATGAGCACTCCCATAAACTTCAGTGAGACTAGTTATGTGTACATTTATTCACCTATGTAAGTGTTTGCAGGACTGGGGCATCTCAGGACTAAGGGTGAAATTTACCCCTGTATATAGGACCAGCCCAAGGCATATGAGCTGTTGACGTCCCACTGAAATCTGTTTCGAGTATTTAAGTGGTGCATAGGCCTTGATCTGGCCTTCTGAGGAAGGCCCAATCCTGTAGTACTCTGATGAACAAGGGCTAAAGGACCGCACCCCAAGCAAGGCATTCCATCTTGTCAGTTATCAGACAAAAGCATGTGAGTGTGTGTGTGTTAGGATAACAATGAGAAATCTGTGTGTAGCTCTAAGGGTAATATATCGCCTTAATAATGTAAGAGCCCCTTAGAATAGATTGACACGAAGTAGCATTTTGTCAAACATCCACACATTAACATTTGGATGGTCTGAACTGACACAATGTACTGTGACAGAAATCAGTTTCTGAATATCTTAGTGTTATGGATTGCCATGATATAAAGCTATTGCAGAGTACTGTGTCCAAGAACTGTGATGATGTCCTTTGACGATGTGTTGACAGTGCATCCATACTTAGTGTTCTCTGACAAGCCTTGAAGCAACTGTTGCAAAGACTGAAATGGAAATGTCTGTCAGACATCTTTTTGGTTTGTTTTTGTTTCAAACATGATCATGGAAAGGAAATTACAAAAAGATACATTAAAATAGCAGCCGTCTGATATAAATGGACAAAGGTAGGAAAACTTGGAGTTAAGAATGTCACTTTATCTTCAGTTCAACCCATTGTGTTTACATATTGCACAGGCCTTAGATCAGAATGGTGGTTTTGAACTGTAAGTGCTGCAATACCTGTGGGCTAAACAAGGTGAATTAAGGGCAGACCAGCAAACCTTATCACTAAATGTCATTACTTATGTTACGTTAGTAGGTTCAAGCCTGAATCTTAATGTTGTTTTTGATTTCCAGCTAACTGGATTTTTAAACACGTTAGAAACATATACCAAACAAAGATTAAGTGCTGACCAAGGAAGCTTGTCTAATAATTAATTTGCATACAAAATACAGCACACGACATTATCCTAAATCCTTGCTTAAGCACGTAGTTCTGTCCCGCAGGATTCCTTCCCTCCCCACGAACACACATTTCTAATACTCCAAAACTAAAACTAGAGCCTTTTCAAAGACTCCGCCTATGCAACATTCAGCTGTAAAATAAATTGCACCTGCTTTCCACAGAGTTCGTTGTTCATTGCAAGCATTAAGGTTAGCTTTGCACTACCCTCATGAGGTAGGGAAGTATTATTGTCCTTACTTTACAGATGAAGAAACTGAGGCACGGAGATTTAGGGTATGTCTACACAGCAAAGAAAAACCCACATCTGGCCCCTGCTAGCTGACTTGGGCTTGTGGGGCTCTGGCTGCAGGGCTGTTACATTGCTGTGTAGACTTCTGGGCTCAGGGACCCTCCCACCTTGCTGGGTCCTAGAACCCAAGCTCCAGCCCAAGCCTGGAAATCTACACAGCAATGAAACAGCCCCACAGCCCAAGCCGCGTGAGCCCGAGTCAGCTGGCACGGGCCAGCCATAGGTTTTTCTTTGCTATATAGGCATACCCTTAGTGACTTGCCCAAGAAGAAAGTCTGGATGGAATCCAGGTCTCCTGACTGCTAGTACTGTAACCTGCCCCCAAGCCCACAAGTTGAAAAAAGAGTACAGGAGTGATGATAACAGGTATAGCAATACACGATGTGAGTTAGATCCCCAGCTGGTGTTAATTCATTTATTAATTGAAAGCACTTAACTTTTTTGTATCAACTAGTCCAAATCCTCAGTTTAAATCTGTATAGCTCCATTGACTTCAGTGAAGCCACACCAGTTTACATCATTTAAGAACCTGTCATAATATTTTTAACACTATGGCTAAATTATAAATAGTTCTCTGCAGGTATTCAGTTTTCAAGCTGTGTTTTGTTGTGACTGGTCAAACAAGTCTCATGGGATTGTGTCTGCTTCATGGCTTGAGCACTTCCAGTATGAATACTCAGGTGCACAAACCTCAACTTTGCTTTCCGTGAATTCTTGTGCATGTGACTTTAGAATCACTTTCTGCAGACACTGATTGCATGAACGTTTGTGGAGAGCAAAAGCAAAAAGGGCACACATGGCTGAAGTACATTCATTTTAAACTGCGAGTGAATATTAATGGGAACTGTTTTACATCATTCAGCCAGCACTAATAGAAAGCAATAGTATTAGACTCTCATGAATGATTTTAAGACAATTTAACTCCAAATTCAGGGCAGCAGTATAAACCTAAGCTCATTCACCCCATACCAGGGTATGGTCCATTTAGTACTATTTCCCAGTAGTTTGCATTCAATAAGATTTTGTTCCATACTGTGCATGGCAGCACACACGAACACATTCTGAATTTTAACTACAGTATCTTAAACGTCCATTTCGAAATGACTTTTGAGAGCCACATTGTAAACACAATACTTTGTTTTTGACAGTAAAAATAGGTGTATATGGTAATGTCCTCTACCCAGCATCCACCTCAAATAGCCAGACTGAGTACTGGGGAGATGAGGAGGGACTCAATGAGGCCACTCCATGGCATCTGTTTCAGCCCCATGGATTCTTAAACATAAACAGACTATGGGGTTGGGAGATAGAGCTGAAGCGTCCATGCAGGAGGCTCCTTCCGTAGATTGTCTATGACCTGTCCCCTGTGCACTTCCACGCAGGGAGCCCCACAGAGCTGGGCTCCAAGCCATGTGGCAGGTGCGTGGGTAGCCCTCTCTTGCACAGCAGAACACCACCAGTTGCACCATCTGGGGACATCTTAGCCACAGAGATGAGGACTGGATTTGCTCCGCAGAGCCGTGTTCTTAAAACTGGCCTGTTATCTCTAGAGTCAGTGGAGCATAAGTAACAGGAATGTGTACAGTAGGAATGTGTGTGTATATCAGGAAGTTTTGTATATAATAAAACAGTTGTTTGAATAATATAAAAAAAGAGGGATGTTCTTTAGGCAGCCCATTTTTTAATTCAAATTTATTTTGCCATCAGGGTTTTTTCTAAGCTGTTTACTGCTGAATGGAATAGGGGAAAGGTAAATCTGCTCTCACTAACGACCGAGACTCCCGATCAATGAAAACCTAAGTCTTTGTTGCTGTGTCTCACTGACAATCGCAGTATTTTAACAATGTTCCTGTGCAATTATTCTGTGGAAAATGAAATGTCTGCTGCTCCTGCATCTAATTTCCTACATTTGCTACATCAGCAGTTTTCCACTCTCTCTCGGAGCACTGGTAAAAGACATACAAGATTTGAAAGCCTCAGCTATAGATGATGTCTGTCTGTTATACCCAGACAACAATGTATTGAATACGAGATGTACACAGTAGTTTGGAAAATATCTGATGTTATCCAATGCAACTGTCATAAAAGTATCTTAAATTTACACCACATCTTTCATCCTAAAGCTATTTATATACGCAAAAACAATTTCATCCACTTCTGGGGTCAAACACAGCAGCTGTTTAACAAAACACAGCAAAACAATGCAACAATAAGTGAAGAATACCTTCTCCAAATGAAACTTCAGGGGGAAATTTAGCACAGTTGTGTGTAGATACCCAAACTGGAATTTGACAAGTACATCCCTGTACTTACTATCGCTGTTTTCTTGGAAAGTGACATGGAATCTTTAATGACCACAATAGACAGGACCTTGGTTTTGTGTCTGATCCCAAAAAATTGTACCTTAAGGCAGAATATTAGTGTCCCTCTCACCATGTCTGGGTACTGGTTCAATACTGATTTAGAGGATAAAATGCCAGGCTGAATCACAAATACCATTACCTACAGCACTTTGATGTTCCTTGGTGTTCCCCAGGAAAATTAAATCCCACTAGAATCAAGGTACTGGATGATACGGTATAGGTTCATGGATTTTAAGTCCAGAAGGGATCACTTTCGATAGTCTAGTCTAGTCTGCCCTATAATCCTAATTCCCCTCTCACTGGGTACATGAAAATTAACTCAGTTGGAATCAGTAGAGTTACCTCACAATAAAATGAGTGTAAGAGAGAAGAGAATCAGGCCTTGGGTCCTTTTATATAGGGAGGCCATGCTCTGTGCTTATTAGAAAGCATGCACTTGCTTGTTTTTTGTTTTGTTGAGGTCTTTTTACATGACTTGTCACTGTGGAAATAAGTGATACCAAACCAAAGAACATTGTTTTTCATTCCATTTTAATCAGCTATTACAAAATGGAGAAGCACTGACTAATAACACTGCTCTTTCATGGTAAACACTGTCTTTTTTTTGTGTGTGCACATTAATTAGTAAACTATCTGACCTTTTTTCCTATTCTTTCATATATAGGAGACCTGACACAGTGGCTCACATGACTACACCCAACCAAATGCACTCCAATGTCATGCAGACGCTGCAGTATCTAAACTCTCAACTTCCTAAAGGCAGCCATGTGATTTTAACAGGCTTGGTAGATGGTCGCTTTCTGTGGGATCAATTACATAGCAGATACCATCCTCTTGGTAAATATCTGACCTTGTTTTTAATTTCCTAGGCATGAATCTTGAACTCTACTGATGTACATTACAAGATGGTTTTAGGAATGGTGAGCCCCTGAACTCAGTGGCATTACACCAGGGTTGGATTTGTCCTGGTTTGTCCAAAACTGCAGTCTGACTGGCTGATCATTGTTTTGGGGTGGTTGTTCCTGAAGCGAAACAGAGTCATTTACGTGAACATCTGTCCGCATCCAAATTTTAGATGTTTAGATAAAATTGGACCCAGATTTGAACACGCCCATGTCTAGGTTTTGCAAAACAAACCCAACTGCTGAAATTTTGCAAAAACAAAGTCATGCCCAATAGCTCCCAGTGAAAGTGGAGCTGTGCAACCCCAAAGTTCACAACATTAACAAGAATGTGCTTGGGCTTTTTTTAAACATGGAATTGTAATAAGGCACTTTGGGACAGTTCTTGGAAGCCTCTCATTTCAGAACACGTGAGGCTGCACCCATGACCACGGGAAGCTCTTTGGGGCCTGTATTTTTGTTCTATGTTTGTACAGTGCCTAGAACAGTAGGGTCCTGGGCCATGACTGGGGCTCCTATACCCTATGGTAATATTACTATTACTACTACTAATAATAATAAATGCACACCCTGTTT